AAAAACACCTCTCTATTTCTGGATCTACTGCTGTATCAAGTCTACTTTGCCTCTAAGAGAAAACAGAAAGTAGAAAACAGAAACGAGAGGGAAGCAGTGGAAAAACAACAATAAAAAACAAACTGCCACGTTTGTGCCATTTCCCAAAGAAAATGTCCTTCGAAGAAGGGACACAACTTCTTTCCCTTAAGCACATTCTGGAGCTTCCTTGAATGGTGGGAAGAGCATGTCTTTCCCAAAGCTGGGGTCGTGAATAGTGCGTACACAAGGGAGGGCCTATTATATTATTTTTCTTCCCCCTTAATGAACTCCTCTCATGTCCACCTCTGATCAGTGAAGTATGACAGAGGGTGATTGAACGCCAGTCTCCCAGGAAATGAAGTTTGTTCACACACTCCAAGTATGCTAGCCCTACTGCTGCCTGCCTCTGATTTATGGGGCCAGAACGGCCTTCCCCTGGTAACAATAATGCTTTTAAAAACCCATACCCGATTCCCCTGTCTCATACCCTCCAACATTTCTACGGTGAAAATAGGGATGTCCTATTTCATCATCATCTTCATACCTCGCCCATCTGACGACATTGCTCCAGCTACTGTGGGCGGCTTCCAACATATATAAAAACAAAACAAAACATTAAACATGGGGGAAAACTTCCCTATACAGGGCTGCCCTCAGATGTCTTCTAAAGGTTGTATAGTGACCTATCTCCTTGGTTCAGGCTGGGGTGTAGCATAACTCCATAAGCTCCAACATTTCTCCAATGAAAATAGGAACATCGGGACATTCTGGGATCAAATCAGAAACCTTGATGGGCTTCTGTAAATCCAGGACTGTCCCTGGAAAATAGGGACCTTTGGGGGGTCTGTTGTATCCCCCATGGAGGCCCCACAAGGATGGCGTGCAGCGGTGACCCACGCCCCCTCCTCTTTGCAGCGGCAATACCAGGGTTCCCCGTTAAAGGGGTTGTTTGAGGGGAGGCATTGGCCGTACGCCTAGAGGTCGTCATTGCTCTCCCTTGCGGTGGCGGCATAATGGGGGCGGGCTCTCTCTGCTTCAACATATGTTCTCCAGAGCCAGCCCATCCACCACTCACACTGGATAACCCTGATGTTCCCCAGATCCTCGGCTAGGAACGGGGGAGGGATAAACGCCCAATGCCTGAGCCAAAGTCTACCAACATCTGAAACATAATAAAGTTGTGGCCAATTTTAATCCCACAGCACTTTGTCTTGAGTCGTTATTCCACACGGGAGCCGCCCAAGGTTTGGGGGACTCCTCCTGTCCATGCAATGTTTATCTTGATAATCCACGGGAACGCTTTCTACAGAGAAAAACAGATCCTAAAATGTTCTCAGTTGTGTTTGCCTGCAATCTCAGTCATAATTTTTTTTTGACGTTGGTTGGCTTTCCTGGGTATGTTTTTATGTGCCTCTGATGAAGATTTGTTATACTTGAAACATGTTGGGCACAATAAGTTGTCCTATTTCCTTCAGCACCTCGTGAAATGTGCCCCTCTTTTTTTCTGCTTAGGAAAACATTAATCTCCCTCCCCACGTTATGGCCTTGATTCAAACTGGTTCCCTTTTGGGAGAAGAAACATAAAATAGATTGTGAAATTCAAATATGGGTCTCCTCCATAATACATAGCTTCTAAGGATCCTTGCTTGACTTACTCTTCCCACCTGCCCTGTCAGACATTTCCGAAAGCTCAGTGTCCCTAAATCACAGAATTGAAGAGTTGAACTGAGGATCATCTAGTTCAACCCCCTGAAATGCAGGAATATGCAGTTGTCACAACTGTTCTCTATGCTTTGGGGAGCACTCCCTGGCAATACAGTCCAGTTTCTCTCTAGGGTCTTTTCTAGATCAAGGTACACCAGGATTGTCTGTCACTGAAGTTTCTGCCCCATTTTTTCAGTCCAATGGACATTGGCACGATGCATACCGATAAGTTATTATTGCGAAATTCCACCCTCATGCTGCATTTCCTCCCATTTTTGCTTGCACTAACTACAAACTTAAAAAGCAGAGGCATCACCTTGCCAACAAAGGTCCGTATAGTTAAAGCTATGGTTTCCCCAGTAGTGATGTATGGAAGTGAGAGCTGGACCATAAAGAAGGCTGATCCCCGAAGAATTGATGCTTTTGAATTCTGGTGCTGGAGGAGACTCTTGAGAGCCCCATGTACTGCAAGAAGATAAAACCTCTCCATTCTGAAGGAAATCAGCCCTGAGTGCTCACTGGAAGGACAGATCCTGAAGCTGAGGCTCCAGTACTTTGGCCACCTCATGAGAAGAGAAGACTCCCTGGAAAAGACCCTGATGTTGGGAAAGATGGAGGGCACAAGGAGAAGGGGACGACAGAGGACAAGATGGTTGGACAGTGTTCTCGAAGCTACCAGCATGAGTCTGACCAAACTGCAGGAGGCAGTGGAAGACAGAAGTGCCTGGCGTGCTCTGTTCCACGGGGTCACAAAGAGTCGGACACGACTCAACGACTAAACAACAACAACAACAAAACTACAAAACGCTTGCACTTTTTCTGAGTTTCACACGGAGCAAACCTACCAAAAAAAAAGCGAGTGATATTTTTCTTTCTTTTTGTGAGCTTACGATTTTCCCCTCCCTTCATTCTTCAAACACACTTGAAGACTGTACGCACCACTTATTTTAAGCGCATTCCTTCTCCTAAAGGATCCTATGAACTGTGGTTTGTGCTGGGAGCTGTAGTTCTGTGAGCGGCAAGCTACAGTTCCCACAATCCTTTAGGGAATCATGCGCCTGATTTGTGCGCAGCCATATCCTCTCCCCTGCCACCCCCTCCCATACAGCCTTTGGATCAATAACTCCTTTCTCTGATTCCATTCTTAAGGTTGGCCGTCTGCTTTTATTTGGTCCCCCTGCCCCAATGGTTATTAGCTCAAACATTTGATTAGCACTTAAAAATAAACCTCCAACCCTTTCCACCTTTGAAAAATCTTAATAAACTGCTCTGATGCAGGTCAGTTAAAGTGGCAGTATTGTGACTGACAGCTGATCAGTGCAGTACATCCTAGTTTAGGAGCAAGGAGCTGCTTTGAGTCACACAAGGCTTGGCCAATCGATGCCGTGTAAATCCATCCTCTATGCAAAGTTTAAACTGGAGACAAACAGAGAATAGTGTGTCAGTTTTTGTTTCCAGGTGTGCCCAGGTACATGCCAGTGCAGTAACATCCCCTCCAACATTTCTCTGATGAAAAATTGTTGTTTAGTCATTTAGTCGTGTCCGACTTTTTGTGACCCCATGGACCAGAGCACGCCAAGCCCTCCTGTCTTCCACTGCCTCCCGCAGTTTGGTCAGACTCATATTACTAGCTTCGAGAACACTGTCCAACCATCTCGTCCCCTGTCGTCCCCTTCTCCTTGTGCCCTCCATCTTTCCCAACATCAGGGTCTTTTCCAGGGAGTCTTCTCTTCTCATGAGGTGGTCAAAGTATTGGAGTCTCAGCTTCAGGATCTGTTCTTCCAGTGAGCACTCAGGGCTGATTTCCTTCAGAATGGATAGGTCTGATCTTCTTGCAGTCCATGGGACTCTCAAGAGTCTCCTCCAGCACCATAATTCAAAAGCATCAATTCTTCAGCGATCAGCCTTCTTTATGGTCCAGCTCTCACTTCCATACATCACTACTGGGAAAACCATAGCTTTAACTATTCAGGCCTTTGTCGGCAAGGTGATGTCTCTGCTTTTTAAGATGAAAATAGGGATGTCCTATTCAGTAATGATGCTTGGTGTTATTATTATCTTTTTAGGTATGCTGTAAGCTGCCCAGAGGGATGTGGGTGGCACTGTGGGTTAAACCACTGAGCCTAGGACTTGCCAATCAGAAGGTCAGCGGTTCGAATCCCTGCGACGGGGTGAGCTCCCGTTGCTCGGTCCCTGCTCCTGCCAACCTAGCAGTTCGAAAGCACATCAAAGTACAAGTAGATAAATAGGTACCGCTCCGGTGGGAAGGTAAATGGTGTTTCCGTGCACTGCTCTGGTTCACCAGAAGCGGCTTAGTCATGCTGGCCACATGACCCGGAAGCTGTACGCCGGCTCCCTCGGCCAGTAAAGCGAGATGAGCGCCGCAACCCCAGAGTCAGCCACGACTGTACCTAATGGTCAGGGGTCCCTTTACCTTTACCTTTAAGCCTTCCAGAGTATCTGCTTTGTGTTCACATGAGGCTCGGGTGGGTAAGTGAGGATCGGGCTTATCGTTATCTCAGGAAGGAATGTGCAAGAGAGGGGAGCAAGCCCTTTGCAGCCTTGCCTTGCTGCACTTCATTACTTCAAGCAACTACTTCCCAGCCTGGCTCATTTCCAGCGCTGGAGTCAAGCAGGGGAGAAAGGGCTTAAAGCAACACAGTATTGTGCAAACAAAGGGAGAAAACACTGACAGATACACACACCTGCTACATACATGAATAGAGCAGTGGTATCAACTGCTGCCCCATTACATCTAGTGAGGCCATGATCTGTCCCATCAAGGATGTAATTCAGGGGTCAGCAACCTTTTTCAGCCGTGGGCTGACCATGTGGTGGGCCAGATGATATTTTGGAAGAAAAAAAAAAGAACAAATTCCTGTGCCCCACAAATAACGGAGAGATACATTTTAAATAAAAGGACATATTCTAGTCATGTGAAAACACCAGATTTTTTCAATGAATCTGGAGACCCTTTTTTTTGTTGAAGCTGAGTAGCAACAGGGAGCCAGTAGTGGGGATGGTGAGGCAAAAGACCCTGGGCCCAAGCACACAAGCATATTGTATAAAGGTGCAAAGCCCTTCTTTCACACCCTGTGAAACAGAAATGCACAGAGTTTTTTAAAAACTGGGCAACGGCGTGCCGCCTGCCTGTGGCTCACGAGCCTTCCCTGATCTCCTTTCCTCTTCCCCCTTTGTTTTGACAGATCAGGGGAGGCTCGGGAGTCATGGGCGGGCGGCCATTGCCCAGGAGGGGCCAGTCTGGTAGTGCAGTTGGCTCTGGCTGGCTTCAGGAGCTGCTCGCTGCTGTGGCGCAGGAAAAATGGCGGGTGCCACAGCAGCGAGCAGCTCCTGAAGCCAGCCAGAGCCAACTGCACTAATAGGTTGGCTCCGAGCTGCTGAGGCTGCCGCTGCCACGTTTCCCAGGGACAGAATTGCAAATCTGGGGACATTCCAGGGACGGAATTTGTCCAGGGACAGATTTGCAAATCCAGGGTCTGGTACAGTGGTACCTCTGGTTACGTACAGTGGTACCTCAGGTTACATATGCTTCAGGTTACATACGCTTCAGGTTACAGACTCTGCTATCCCAGAAATAGTGCTTCAGGTTAAGAACTTTGCTTCAGGATGAGAACAGAAATTGTGCTCTGGCAGCGCGGCGGCAGCATGAGGCCCCATCAGCTAAAGTGGTGCTTCAAGTTAAGAACAGTTTCAGCTTAAGTACGGACCTCCGGAACGAATTAAGTACTTAACTCAAGGTACCACTGTACTTAATTCATTCTGGAGGTCTGTTCTTACCCTGAAACTTTTCTTAACCTGAAACATCACTTTAGCTAATGGGGCCTCCCGCTGCTGCTGCGCCACCACCGCACAATTTCTGTTCTCATCCTGAAGCAAAGTTCTTAACCTGAGGTACTATTTCTGGGTTAGGGGAGTCTGTAAGCTGAAGCATATGTAACCTGAAGCGTATGTAACCAGAGGTACCACTGTAACCCTATTCCAGTAGCACCTTAGAGACCAACTAAGTTTGTCATTGGTATGCGCTTTCGTGTGTATCTGAAGAAGTGTGCATGCACACGAAAGCTCATACCAATGACAAACTTAGTTGGTCTCTAAGCGGGTGGCGCTGTGGGTTAAACCACAGAGCCTAGGACTTGCTGATCAGAAGGTCGGTGGTTCAAATCCCCGCGACGGGGTGAGCTCCCGTTGTTTGGTCCCTGCTCCTGCCCACCTACCAGTTCGAAAGCACATCTAAGTGCAAGTAGATAAATAGGTACCGCTCCCGCGGGAAGGTAAATGGCGTTTCCGTGCGCTGCTCTGGTTCGCCAGAAGTGGCTTAGTCATGCTGGCCACATGACCCAGAAGCTGTATGCCGGCTCCCTCGGCCAATAAAGCGAGATGAGCGCTGCAACCCCTGAGTCGTCCACGACTGGACCGAATGGTCAGGGGTCCCTTTACCCTTTACCTTTAAGGTGCTACTGGAGGGAACTTTTTTATTTTGTTTCGAAAACAAAAGCTAGACTTTGGGTGCCCTTTCTCGCAGGAGTTTCTGCCACTGGCCATAAAGCACTGACTGTGAGCTGTATGAGAAACCTCCAACACCCACTCACCCCCGCCGTCCTCTGCTTTAAAAGTTGAGCAGCCTGCCAAGTTGGCAGCAGCAAAACTATGCCTTGCAGAAGCCCCGAAGGATCCTGCCCAGAGCCAATGAGACACCGCAGGAGATTACGGGTAGCCTTTGAAAGGGCTGGAAACTGGTTCGCCTCCCTCCCTGTTGCTCCCCTTTGGAAGGCTGGCTCTCCCTCTGAGCTGCCACCGGCGGTAAGTCTTGGCAGGTAAGTTTTGTGCGGCACCAAAGACCCTGCCGCATGGAGTCCTCCGGGAAGGAGGTAAAAGGCCTTTAATGAGGGGAGGATTAACAAGCACGAAGAGGCGGCTCTGAAAGGGCCGTGCGTGCCCTGACCGCTCTATGCAGGGATGCTCTGCGGGATACAGGGTAATTGGATTGGACCCTGGCGAGCTCTTTGAATGAGTTTAAAAGGGTGTCTCCGAAGGGATCTGCCCACTGCCACCTCCCACACAAGGAAGAGGAGATGAGGCGCCTCATTAAGGGATTAGTGTGTTTGTTCTGCTGCGGCTTTTGTTGCTGAAACACTTTTGTGTCGCAGCTTCTCTGGAGCCAGCTTCTCCTCCCTGCCCACAGCAGGGAATTTCACTCCCCTTCCCTGACGAAAACTCGCACCAACTGTGGGCAGGGTGAAACCCTCGCTTCATCTCTCTGGCTGTCAAAAAAAGGCAGACATGTGAGTTTTTTGGGGGGAGTCTCTCTCTCCATCTCCCTCTTCTCTAAATCCCACACAACCCATTTTGTGTCTTCACTGTTGGCTTTCTGGCACTGTTCTTCCAGAGTCCAGCACAGAACTAGGAGATTCTGCTCAGCTTTTCTGCTTTCGTCTCCCCGTGTTCAGAGGGTGGGTTAAGGGCTTGCTACCTTTTCTTACATGCTTCAACTAGTAACAATAATAACAATATTATTATAATAACTTATTATTTATTCCCCACCCATCTGGCCAGGTTTCCCCAGCTACTCCAGGTTTCCCCAGCTACTCACTTCTTGGGAACCCTCAGAAGGCCCTCGGCGCTGGACCTCACTGTCCGGGCTGAACGATGGGGGTGGAGACGCTCCTTCAGGTATACTGGACTGCCTTCAGACGTCTTCTAAAAGTCAGATAGTTGTCTATTTCCTTGACATCTGATGGGAGGGCGTTCCAGTGGGCGCCACCACCGAGAAGGCCTTCAGCTCTGATCAAAAAAGCTTCTACAGCCCAGCAGCCTTCAGGCATGGGACCCCCCTTTAACCCAAGCATAAAATCATAGAATCATAGTGTTGGAAGGGACCACGAGGGTCATCTAGTCCAACCCCCTGCAATGCAGGGATATTTTTGCCCAATGTGGGGCTTGAGCCCACAATTCTGAGAACAAGAGTGCTTCACCAACTGAGCCAACCCTTACCCCTCCACCAACCAAATTTTAACCAATGCCTAACCGCAACCTTACACGTTGTGACGATTTGCTACGCAGTAGGCAAAAACCAAATGGCACCAGCCAATCTGCCAAATGGACCAAATTCCTACCGGACCCCTGCCCCCAAAGCAGACGACCCCATGACAGGCATAGCAAGGTCAAACACAACAGCCCTAAATTAGGGAGGGTAGGCGGGCGATCCGATGCATGCGGCAAAAGAGACTGAAAAAAGCTGCGTGCCAAGAATATATAAACTTCAGAACAACCCTCTAAATGGTAACATCAAAATCTCCCCAACAACCCAAATTGGCCCAATCACAGTCATGGCTATCCAAATGGTCCCGCCCAGTAACCAAGAGGGGGTGTCCTGTTAGACCCCACCGCAATACGTGCTCTCCATTAAGAAGAACACGCTTTGCCTTTATTCAGTGTTTAGCATGGAAGGTATCTCAGGCTGATCAGTTTCTGCTTCATAAAGCTTGTGGAGTTTGTCGATGGGGGCAGAAGATTGTCAGCAAGCAAGCAAATACTTGGGTAACAAAAGATCCTGTGCCCTGCAGCGTGGGGAAAATCTCCTTCCTTCCTTCCTTCCTTCCTTCCTTCCTTCCTTCCTTCCTTCCTTCCCTCCCTATAAACATGGCTGAGTGGAAGCATCAGCAGGGCAGTGTTTGTGTTTGTGTATGTGCGTCTCTGTGTGTACAAGCCAAGAGAGGGAGAACAGGGTTATAGGGAAAATAAATGAGACTCCCCTAAAATTAATTGTTTGAAGCAAGTGTCCTACTCAGCTGTGAATTCTGAAATGATTATTGGATTTGTAGGCGGATGAGAAGCACAGTGGGTCGGTGCACGATTAATATCTTATTGATAGTGGATTAAGTGAATGAGATCAAATCTTTAACCCAGAGAAGATGCAGTTTATCAATTTGTCACCAAAATGTAGCAGTAATATGTGTGTGCTTGTGTGGCCTACGATCAATATATTAGTAAGCACTTCCTTTGTAGCAGTGCTCCAGTAAAAGCAGGAGCCTTCTTCCAGGGGACGATATCACTGGCAAGAGATTAGGTCAGGAGGGATGATACACTTTTCCAAGGCAAAGGTTGGTCCAGGGCCTCAACAATCTCTTGATAAGGTGCCTGTCAGGCAGTTCAGAATAAGGCTGATGGATAGATGTGTGGGAATGTTCGGGGATGCAGGAGAAGATATATTGTTTGATTATGTCCTTTCCAACTTGTGTTAACAAGTTCTACAATTTAGCAGAGTAACATTCCCCTTTTAAACTTGCACAGCGGATGCGTTTGCTCAGGCTCGCTAAAGCCTCTAAAACACATTTCCTTGGTAATTCCCCATTTAGTCCCTCATAAAAAGATAGACACGACACAGTCTTCTATGAAAGTATAAAAAGAGTTTACTCACTCACATTCTGTTCACAAATGGACTCCAGAAGGCAGACTTAAGTTACAAAAGTAATCTACACCTGGAAACTATAGGAATAAGGAGGCAGTTCCTTTATCCTCTCTAGGCTGCAAGCCAAGAGAGCATTTAGGCTAAGCAGATGTTGCTTCTTTGACAAATGTGGTCAGAGAGAGATGGCTGACCAGTCCTGCTCTTTTGTTACCTGGGCAGGTGAGGTCACGCCCACCTCTAGTCACATGCAGAGGAAGTCTGTCCCAGCCTAGGAGAAACAGGAAGTTCCCACTGGCTGGTCCAGACACCACCTTTTATGGCACCTCTAGGGATGTTGTACTTGACTGCTCTTGTGTTTCACATCCCACAAGATGGCCATGTTTTGTCTTGGGGTCTTCAGTTTCAAAAGAAGCCTTCCTAATGTTTATGTTGTATTGGAGGAGCGGCAGAGTCCCCTATTCTGCGGTGTGGCATTTAGTGATACAGACAATCCTCATTTTGCGCAGGGGTTCTGTCCCGGACTCTCGTGTGCGTTCATGGAGTGTGTGTAAGGCTGCCCAGTCCACACCCTGCCCCTTTCCTTTATGACATTTTGGGGTTCCTTCCAGATTCGGGGCCTGTGTGATCGCGTGTCATTCAGACGCACCTAAATCGGGAGTTGTCTGTAGTTGTTACAAAACCTGCAGTGACAGAATCAAAGCAGCAAAAGAACATGCAGCGAAGAAATTTTAGCCGGTTAATTGATAACACTTGCATATAGGTACAAACACTCTTTCAGAAGGTAGAATTATGTCATTGCAGGTACCACCCTTAGGAGAGGCATTACCTCCTGTGTATTAGAGAAGGAAGGATGCCTCTATTAAGATGGTTTTTGCCTCTGCAATTTCTATAAGCGCTTTCATTAAAAACTGTCTATCTCTGTATATAACAGCTACAGCCTGATTAATTTGGGACATGCTTTTAGCCGATGAACCAAATAATCAATTAAACCTTGCAGTCCTAAAAATAATACATACAACCTAATGAGCGTCCCAGATTTCTACTTTTCAAACTTATGATGAAGGCCTCTTCTTTCAAGCACTGCAGAATTGATGTCCTCCTTAATTCTTAAACTTTGATTTGACAGTCCTAGTCCCCGTGTTATGCTTTGAAGTAATGGAGTACTCCTGCAAACCTTTCCTTTGCCTCAAAATGGGACATGAGAATGATTTATCAGCTACGTGCACCAATGACAAGATTCAGTTCGGACCCTGGTTTGGCCTATCTCAGTCCGAGGTGCTTTAAAGGCTGACCAGTTTGGCTTTGGGTACGTCTGACTCCATTTTACTGCTCTCCACCCCAATTTCATTACTGAGGTTGTTTTGTCTTTTAACAAAAGGGGGGGGGATTGCAGATAGAGTAGTAGTCCTTCCAAAAGCAGATAGTGCCTACCACATTACAGTGGTGCCCCGCAAGACGAATGCCTCGCAAGACGAAAAACTCGCTAGACGAAAGGGTTTTTCGTTTTTTGAGCTGCTTCGCAAGACGATTTTCCCTATGGGCTTGCTTCGCAAGACGGAAACGTCTTGCAAGTTTGTTCCTTTTTCTTAACACCGTTAATACAGTTGCGACTTGACTTCGAGGAGCACCTCATAGAACAGCGGTGTGGTAGCCTTTTTTGAGGTTTTTAAAGACTTTGGTGATTTTTGAAGCTTTTCCAAAGCTTTTCCGACACCGTGCTTCGCAAGACGAAAAAAATCGCACGACGACAAAACTCGCGGAACGAATTATTTTCGTCTTGCGAGGCACCACTGTACAGGTTAATATGTACAGAGGTTTTTGTGGTGGACCCATTTGAAGTTGGCTTTTTAAAAAGTTTGAGGCAGAATTGGGTGAAATCTGCTGGCAATATCATGCCTCCTGAGAGGCTGTATCTCAAGTTTCAGAACAATTGTTACGGTAAGAGCGGCTATTACAGTTTTGGAGTGGGTAAAAAGGTAAAGGTAAAAGGACCCCTGACCATTAGGTCCAGTCGCGGACGACTCTGGGGTTGCGGTGCTCATCTCGCTTTATTGGCCAAGGGAGAGTGGGTACAAAAGGAATAACTTAATCTACCCTAGCATTTTCGTGGAATTGCACACAATTTCCCCTAGCTAAGAAATTGTCCCTGGCTAATAAACCTGCCAAGAAAGGTCCATATAGTTAAAACTATGGTTTTCCCAGTAGGGATGTATGGAAGTGAGAGCTGGACCATAAAGAAGGCTGATCGCTGAAGAATTGATGCTTTTGAATTATGGTGCTGGAGGAGATTCTTGAGAGTCCCATGGACTGCAAGAAGATCAAACCTCTCCATTCTGAAGGAAATCAGCCCTGAGTGCTCACTGGAAGGAAAGATCGTGAAGCTGAGGCTCCAATACTTTGGCCACCTCATGAGAAGAGAAGACTCCCTGGAAAAGACCCTGATGTTGGGAAAGATGGAGGGCACAAGGAGAAGTGGACAACAGAGGACGAGATGGTTGGATAGTGTTCTAGAAGCTACAAACATGAGTCTGACCAAACTGTGGGAGGCAGTGGAAGACAGGAGTGCCTGGCGTGCTCTGGTCCATGGGGTCACGAAGAGTCAGACATGACTAAACGACTAAACAACAACAACAACAATAAACCTGCCAAATTGCAGACAAATGGGTCTAAAAACTTTTGCACCAGGCATCTGTAAAGATGATTAAAGGGGTAGTGATAAAGAAGAGGTAAAACCCCTCCCTCTAATTACAACCTTGACCCCATTACCCTGGTGTTCTGTTTATATGGTAAGCTTAAAAACATTACTTTTACTTTTAGCAGATGCTTGTCTGCAGCATTTCTTTTATGGTCTGGATCACTGAGGCACCACAAGTGCCTCAGGACTTCCTGCTTCAACTATCTGGACGGGGTAGCCTAACTACTGTTGTCTATACTCTGGTAACCTCAAGATTAGATTACCGCAATGCGTTATATGTAGGGCTGCCTCTGAAGACGGTTCGGAAACTCCAGCTAGTGCAGAATTCAGCGGCCAGGTTGCTCACCGGAGTAAGACGGTTTGAGCATATTACACCGATCCTGGTCTGACTGCACTGGCTACCATTGAGTTTCCGGGCCCAATTCAAAGTGCTGGTTTGGACCTATAAAGCCTTAAATGGCTCAGGACCGCAGTACCTCAAGGACCACCTCTTTCCAGATGAACCTACCTGGACCCTGAGATCATCTTCTGAGGCCCTTTTTCGTGTGCCTCCTCCTTGAGAGGTCTGGAGGGTGGCAACACGAGAATGGGGCCTTCTCTGCTGTGGCTCCCCTTCTGTGGAATGCTCTCCCGAGGGAAGTTTGGCGCCTTCACTATACAGCTTTAGGAGCCAGGCAAAAATGTTCCTTTTAAACCAGGCCTTTGGTTGATCTAAGGGACGTGGGTGGCGCTGTGGGTTAAAGCCTCAGCGCCTAGGACTTGCCGATCGCATGGTTGGCAGTTCGAATCCCCACGGCGGGGTGCGCTCCCGTCGTTCGGTCCCAGCGCCTGCCAACCTAGCAGTTCGAAAGCACCTCCGGGTGCAAGTAGATAAATAGGGACCGCTTACCAGCGGGAAGGTAAACGGCGTTCCGTGTGCTGCGGTGGCTCGCCAGATGCAGCTTGTCACGCTGGCCACGTGACCAGGAAGTGTCTGCGGACAGCGCTGGCTCCCGGCCTATAGAGTGAGATGAGCGCACAACCCTAGAGTCTGGCAAGACTGGCCCATACGGGCAGGGGTACCTTTACCTTTTACCTTGGTTGATCTTATTTACATCCTATGACCTTTTAAAATGTGGTTTTTGTGTCTGTGTGTGGGGGGGTGCTATTGGGTTGTTATTTATATTTTTAGTATGTATTTTGTGGTTTTATATCTTGATTTTATTCAGTGGACCGCCCTGAGGCCCCCCGGTGTAGGCTGTTATATAAATTCAATTAATGATAATGATAATAATAATAATAATAATGGTAATAATAATAATAATAATCCCACCTTCTACAGATCCCATTTCATCTCTGACAAGCCTGAAACTCCTTCTGAGGTGCCCCACTTCAGGCCAGAATTTGTTCCAATGCAGCACACACCTTAGAGATTATATGTCCAGTAAGACACTAATGGATTAGGACATGGGTGGTGCTGTGGGTTAAACCACAGAGCCTAGGACTTGCCAGAAGGTCAGTGGTTCGAATCCCCGCAAAAGGGTGAGCTCCCGTTGCTCGGTCACAGCTCCTGCCAACCTAGCAGTTCGAAAGCACGTCAAAGTGCAAGTAGATAAATAGGTAGTGCTCTGGCGTGAAGGTAAACGGCGTTTCCGTGCACTGCTCTGGTTTGCCAGAAGTGGCTTAGTCATGCTGGCCACATGACCCGGAAGCTGTATGCCAGCTCCCTTGGCCAATAAAGCGAGATGAGCGCCGCAACCCCAGAGTCGGTCACGACTGGACCTAATGGTCAGGGGTCCCTTTACCTTTAAGACACTAATGTGCTAGCTATCCTTGCATTCTCAGCTAATTGACTCACAGAAAATCCTGCCCAAGACCTGAACAATTCTGGATTGATTGGGAGGTGCAAACAGTCGGCCACCCATCGGGCATACTTTTCCTTTCTTTCCCATACAGTGGTACCTCCGGTTGCGGATGGGATCCGTTCTGGAGGTCCTGTCGGATCCCAAGGTTTTTGCAACTTGAGGACCACTTCTGCGCATGCACACGCGGCGAAACCTAGTAAAATACTTCCGGGTTTGCCCCACGCACATCCCAAAGTTTACGTAACCAGAGAGTTATGTAAATAGCTCGACTATATTCCCATATCCAATTGATCATCATGACCTGGATCTGACCCAGATGGAGGAAGGAGGAGTAAATGGGGGCTGGAAGACTGGCACCCAGGGGTGAAGTGGGGACTGTGACAGTCAATTTCAGAGAGAGGTAAGCTGGTCTGCCAGCTCTCTCCCCCTCCCCTCCAGTGGAGCACCACACCGGGGAGAAGGGAGGATTTTGACCAGCCGGAGAGAGGGGCTGAAGAGGAGGAGAAGGCAGTAGAGTTGGAGGCAGAGGGACAAGACACAGCATTGCTGCCAAGAGCCAGGTGGCATCAGACACACCCGGCCGGCCG